GAAATATATTTATGTTTGTGGTTGTAATGTGACAAAATATGGAAAAGTTCAAGGGGTATGAATACTTTTGCAAACCACTGTAATCCCTCCAGTGAGTCCTGGGGCTTCCTACCAGTGGGACGTGCCCGGACCACCTCAACTGACTCCTTTCGATGTGGAGGAGCAGCGGCTCTACTCTGAGCTCCCCCCGGATGATGGAGCTCCTCACCCCATCTCTAAGGCTGAGCCTGACCACCCTATGAAGGAAGCTCATTCCAGCTGCTTTTATCCGGGATCTCGTTCTTTCGGTCATGATCCACACCTCATGATCACAGGTAAGGGTTGGAACGAAGGCAGACCATAAAATCCAGAGCTTTGCCTTTTGACCCAGCTCTTTCTTCACTTCGACTGACCAAAGTAACGCCCTTATTACTGAGGACAAGGCCCCAGTCTGTCGATCCATCACCCAGATACTTAAACTCCTCCACTTGAGGCAGAGACTCTCTCCCGACCTGGAGGGGGCATTCCACCATTCCAGCCTCTACCAATTGCAACATTTCATTATGTCCTTTTGGAGAATACTACAATGTAAGCCCTACATAGCCCTACATATAAATGCCTACACTGCTGGTAGGGTGCGCGCACACTGCGCGAGTACCCAAAGCGCGACTATAACTGAGACTTAGCACGCTGTGCTACGGCCAGAGCTTGGCGCAGTGCTATTATTGCCAGCATCAGCCAGAAGGATACAAACAGAAAAAATACTCTTACCGCACATAAAAACTGCCTAATTACATATCAGGTTCAACCCATTCCTGTCCAAATCAGAGATGCCTATTCACATTGGTTTAGCATTATCACAGGACCTTGGAGTTCAGCGAAATAAAATGTATTAACTTTGAACATTCAGTTACATTTTGTTAAGAGGGAAAGTTGTTGTAATCTTAAGGGACTTGAGATGTTTGTAAAACCTAAAATTCGAACAAACTTGGACAGATGTACTTCAATCCAAGGAATATGATTATGGAATAATCTGGAAAGTGATTATAAAAAGGCTGGTTCACTTAAAGTGTTTAAGAGAACGATAAGGGTTGGTTTGTTGGAGAGATATAATATTCTAAAATGTGTATTTATAGGAATTACTATTTGAGGAATTGGTTTTTGTTTTGCTTTGTTTTGTTTTTATTATTGGATTTTATGGGTTGTAATTAATATATTATTTTGAAAAATAGGGGAAGATATACAAGACATTTTTCTTCTTCTGCAACCTTTCATTTTATTTGATTTGTTTTTTAATACGTAAATTTGTTTTGTTTTTTAAATGAAATGATTTATTTTGTTTTTAACTTAAATGAATAAATGAACAAAAAAAGTAATTTGTAGATCAGTTTTTAATTCACAATAGAGCTGCACAATATATTGAAAATTTATTGTCATTGCAATAACAAGCTGTGCAATAGGCAAATCACAAAAATGCATGAATTGCAATAAATGGTTGGCTTTAATATTTGTATTTATGTATTTTGGCAGCATCAGTCTGAGAAAGAGAATTGACAAGAGCTACCACATCAAATCATAATCACTTTGTCATTGGAAATGATGTATTTGTGGTTCTTGTGCTCTGAATCCAGAGCAGAAAGATAACAACATTGCGTATTTCCTCATTTATCGCGAGACATATTGTTGTTGCAATATTGAGCACTGTTACCGCACATCGCAGGCTTTCCTGATATCGTGCAGCCCTACTTTACAAATGACTGACATGGCTGATTTGCACAGGATGAACAACACAGACAATCTCTGTAATTATTATAAATAGCATGGGGTCCCTAGGTAAAACTAACCCCGTCAGAATGGGGATGGTGGATTTTATTGAAACTTTCAAAAACTAATCACTCACATCTTCAAATACAGATTCTTTCCTTCATGAAATATAGAATTTTAGGTAAAATAAAGAGCCAAACTAGGATTACTTTGTCCTAAAATTCTAATTTCTACAGTTCCAAACATAAGACATCTGCCCTCATAAAACCTGTAACAAGTGTTGAGTGGTTTGCTACTTATAGCACTCAAAAAAAAAAACTATTGTCATTTCTCATTCTTCTTTCATTTCTGTTTGCTTGCTCTGTGTTGCTCTTCTTGTTTCCCTCTGGATCCTTTTCTCCCTGTGAGTCTCTGTGCTGAGCCCAGATCAACCCTCAGCCTCTCGCCTTCACAGGACTTGTCTTCTCTCATCTTGATTCATTCCTAGCTTTTTATGAATTATTGAAGAGCACTTTTGTGTTACGCTGTCAGTGTAGGAGCTCCCAAACTCATCATCACTCAACCCTTGGTTACTCTCTGGGTTGTGCAATATCACTGCTGGATTTCTGATATTATATGTATATTCGGGCTGTCAAATATATATATATATATTTGTGTGTGTGTTGTGAATTTGACATTCCAGTTAGTTTCATTGAGGAGTAATGGAAGCTAGATAGCCAGGGTTTTTTTTTTTTGCATTCTGTTTACTTGCTGTAAATATGTTTTGATGTAAACAATCATAGCTCTCATGTTCACGAAACATCTTCAAAATTGTCAAAACAAATAAGCATCAATGTTGTTCTAAGAAAAAAATGATGCCACTTTATTTTTCTGCCAGCTCAGTAATCTTCTGGAAACAAAAATTGAAATGTAACAATGAAAAAGAAATAACTTGGATTTCCTTATTGTCGTGAATATGGCCAAAACTTAGCAAAACTTTGGTCAACACTTTATTTTATTTCTTTTTTTCTTTGGTTCTCACGTTTGATGGAACTTTATTTTTCTGTTTAAAAAATGCATTTAACTTGAGAATCCCAGATATTTAAATATGTTTACAATAAAATGACAAACAAAATCATACAACCCAATTCTGAAAACAATTTAGAAGCTGTGCAAAAGTATAAATAAAAACACATTTCAAAGATTTGGATTCTCACTTGCGAAATACGAGCTTTAGTAATCTAATAAACTTGTGTTTCCTTCACAACCAAACAAACGTCAAATGATTTAAAGTAGAGATATCCTGCTTTTAAATCCTTCTTTTTCACATTTAAATCATTCAGCTGGGTCTTTATAAAGTGGAACCAAAATGCTTTGGTCTGAATTCCTCCTTATTCTAACTTTACCAGCTCCTCATTCCCCACTTTTCTGAGGCGTGTCTCAAAGCAGCCGGATTTGATACTTTGTCTTTAAGGCGCTTCAAGCTCCGCCCACCTCCGGCTTCCAGACCATTCCACTCCGGTTTGAGAGAGGGGGTTAGCATTTTCTAGTGTTAAGAAACTTTTTAAACATTTTAATTAAAAGATGTCAACAACAGAAGACTTGTTCATCCAGCCTTACATGTTGGAGCCAGAGTCTGACCCAGAACCAGAGTAGAATGAAGACGAGGAAATTGTAGTCCACAACAAAACATATTTAATAGTTAAAAAAGCAGATTTTGCATGATATGTCCCCTTTAAACTTAAAAATTGTGCAAATTTGGGAAAATTTAAGATAATTTGGATTTATTTGGTTTTTAGCAGCAACACAAATGCAAAAAAACTGTTAATATGGGTTTTGTGTAAACATCAAGGTAGTACAAGGTAGAAATTTGACTTGTACAAAATAAAGTATGTAATAACGCTTGATGCCTCAGAAACTACCGCAGCAGCTAAAAGTAAACATGTCCTTCTTAAAAGAATCATTTGAATAAAGCTGTTTTGTAGTGTTTCATTTGTTCAGAGTGTAACAGTTTTGTACAGCTAAGAAACCACTAAAGCCAGATCAAATCTTAGTGGATTTGTTCACTGCATGTGCTACCTGGGTGAAACAGCTGGGTCTAAGAGAGCGTTAGTAATAAAAGTGCACATGGTGTATTTGATTTGGACAGGAGTGACAGAAACTCCCGTGCTTCCGGTAAACAAGATAGGAATCTAATTATCCGACATCTCCTCCAACTGTTCAGCATGTATCAGAGCAGGCAATATTTTTTTCTTATCATAGCAAAGCAGCAAAAGCAAACAAGGTGAATATTTCAAAACCAGCTTTCCAAAACTGATCAAGTAATGCTTTCTGCTGTTGTACCAACTGTGTTTGTGTCTAAATGTTCACATTTGCACAAACCTGCACATTCAAATGGTCCTAAAGATCACTTGTTTTCTTTGCAATGTAAAATTTGTCAGCTCTTAAAATTCCATTACATCAATATCAAATATCAAAAGGTCAGTGGACGAGTGAAATGGGACTGCAGTGTTCTAAAACCAGTGACCTGAAAAGAAAATGCCAAGCCCATTTAACTAAAACCTGCGTAACACAGTGGCTGCCTTTCACTTATAGTCTACCTTCTTTTTTAAATCAAATTCAAAGTACTTAAAATATAAATTCACATTCAGTTAAATATAAGTAGAATATATCGTTTAATTCTAACAATCAACGTTCTATGTTATTTGTGTGAATGTTCTTCCATAAGTTTTTCAGCACGGAACTAATTCTGCAATTTTTGTGCTATTTTTACAATTTCTACATGAAAACATTCAGCTCCTTCAGGAGTTTCTAGCTATGACTTATGCTGTGGTTCCCAAAGTTGGGGTCAGGACCCACAGTGGGGTCCTGAAAATATTTTTTGAAATATATTCACTAAAAAATTCCCTTTTTTGCCTTTGTTGTTACAAAATAGTAAGATTAGTGTACTTAAAATGGACAAAAATAGCGTAATAAATAACGTTACTATAATCTTGTTTATTTGACATGAAAACAATGTTTATCAACCGACAGCAGCTGGGGGCACAGGTCTCTGCTGCTGGTATTTTGTGAGTCAAAAACTGAAAAGTTCAGGAACCACTGACTTATGGTATTTCAGCGACTTGTACTTTTTGAGATATTTAGTTTTCCAGACATATTTTTCTTTATACATGAATAGAGCTGTTTTCATGATCCTTAAAAACCTTCAAAATGGTCAAAAATCTTAACTTTTTACGTTTTGTTTTGGTTCTGCTAATTTTATTTTTTTTAAACGTCTGTGCTAATTTCAGCTTCCTTTGGATTCTACTTTGTAGACTGGAGCTTTTTTCTGCTTTTACTCTGACCTTTTCTACTAATTTCAATTTTTTAGTGCTTCTTTCTTTCTGCTAAATCCAGCTGTGTTTTTAGCCACTTTCTCCTTAAATTGGGGTATTTTTCACCAAAAATCACCTTTTTGTGATAATTTCAGCTTCTTACTGCTTAATTCAGCAAACGTGCTCTTTCTGTTTCTTTGTGTTAATTTTAGCTACTTTTTAGCTATTTTATGTGTCTGCTTTTATTAGCTTCTCAGCACAAASCTGTCAGCATTAAGCATTCATGCTTTATTTTTGCCTTGCCTACTAATGGTGGTCAGAGGGTCCGGTGGCGCCGGTGCATGTCAGTGCCCCAGGGCAGCTATGGCTACAAGGTAGCTTACTTCCATCAGTGTGCAAATGTGTGTGTGTGCATGGGTGAATGTCTGAAGTGCAAAGCGCCTTGGGGTCCAAGTGGACTTGATAAGGCGCTATGTAAGTTCAAGCCATTTATCGTTTTTAAAGTAAATGATAATTCTCTAGTTTATTATCATCATCATTTATATATACACTCCTGATCAAAATCTTAAGACCAGTCAAAAAAGTGCAAGAATTTGCATTTTGCAGTATTGGATCTTAAGAAGGTTCTAAGTAGAGCTTCACAATGTTAAAGGAAAAAATCAGTGCAAGAGACAAGAACTTTTGAGCAGGGAATTTTCTGAAAACTGCATTTACACTCAAACATGATTTTTTTCAGCTGATCAAAAGTTTAAGACCATAGTCTTTAAAAGCCAAAATCTGTGCAAAAATCTGGATTCCATGTCATTTTCTGTCAAGTCTTTACACTGTCAAGACCTCCTGATGGCAAAAGCAAAAAAGCTCACTGACTTTGAACGTGGTAGGATTGTTGAGCTGCATAAGCAAGGCCTCTCACAACGTGCTATCGCTGCTCAAGTTGGACGCAATAAGACAGACATTTTCCATTTTTTAAATGATCCTAAGAGTTATGGAACGGGGGGGATGGTCCCCCGCGCTGTAGGAGGGGGACAACTACAGCGCGGCTATTGCCAGTATCACTCCACCCCCTGTTAACAATAAGTGTTAATTAAGTGTCAATGATGGCCATGTGATGTGAGTATCAGTCACATGGAGGCAGGGCTTAAAAGCCTGAATTTTGCCTGAAACTCTCAGACTGAAGAAGTCTCTTGGAGGAGAGACGAAACGTTTCATTAGAGAAGAACCCGTCCAGAAGACCTATACAAATTTTTTCTTTTTCATTTTTTACCTGGATTACTGAGATGCATCAGGACAACACTTGGAGCTTTATATGTAACAACAACCATTACTGAAAGGTGATTTGTAAGCTTGATTTCTAATTGCAGAGATTCAGACTCAGTTGACAATTCTATTATAGAATGTGAGTATTTCTTGTGAACATAGACTGCAACAACACCTCCAAGCCTATCAGTACGGTCTCTACGATACAATGAATAATTTTCCACTGAAAGAAACAAATTTGGTAAAGCAGGAGTCAGCCATGATTCTGATATAGCCATAACATATGCTTGTGTCTGAGCAAGTATTACTTTGAATTCATCCAGTTTAGATACAAGACTTCTCATATTTAAAGGACAGATTTTAAAGCCTCTAATTTTACCTAGTTGATTTAGCATCCCTGGATTTTTTTAGACAGGAAAATTGCTTTTGCTTTCTTACTGATGTAGTGTTCAGACTTGACATAACAGGAGGTTGTCTAATCTTTTCAGGATATAATATAGATCCCTGTGTAGACTATAATTGAGTTGGATTTATATAAGATACACCTGTGCACAAACCCAGGTGAAGATAATTATTAAAACATATGTATAAAATCCCAGAAAATATAAAAAAGTGGACATAAAACATTTTTTTCTGGACCTGGATTAAGTTCAATATTTCCAATGACTAAAACAATATTAAACAGAAGTCTTAAATGTTGTTTCCGACTGGTTAAAACAAAGTCTGTTATGTCCGTGCCTTTAGCACTAATGTCTTTTGTCCATTGATGAAAAACAGTAACATAGGCCGAAATTACTACCCGATCAGGTGAGGTTCTGAAGCCAGTCAGTAGCTTGCTGTTCTTTTTTTCGCTGAATGGCGCACACTTCAAGGCTTGAATAACATGGTGCCCACCATGTCGGACACGAGCATGCTCACTAAAACCAGTAGTTCTAGTTTGATCCTCAACCGAAAAACAGGACACGGCTGATATTGATCCAAATAGGCAACAGGGAAGCTGGTGCGCTTCACTTGTTAGATTAGTCGCTCCGTCCCGGCTCCCACCGCCACGTGTCCAGGCCGGCAAGTCCACCCCAGGCGCTCCGTCCAAACACGAGGGACAATCCGAGGGCCGAGGGACTCCATCCACATCCGCCACCCCAACGAGACACGCCGCAACAGCAGCAAGCCGGAGAAACCAGCCCAACCGGCAAGGATGATATTTACCAAAGTTAAGATAACTTATGGTCGATGCTTGCATACACGCCATAGGATGCTTGTGTGCTTTGATTTCTGTTTTGGGGGCGGTTTCGGGGTTTTTTGAGCTTTGGTCTTAAACTTTTGATCAGCTGAAAAAATTATGTTTGAGTGTAAATGCAGTTTTCAATTAATTCCCTGCTCAAAAGTTTGTGTCTCTTACGCTGATTTCTTCTTTCAACATTGTGAAGCTCTACTTAGAACCTTCTTAATATCCAATAGTGCAAAATGCAAATTCTTGCACTTTTTTGTCTGGTCTTAAGATTTCGATCAGGAGTGTTTATTTTTTCTGCATTTAGTCTGTTTGCATATCAGCTACAGAATTGCTCTAAGTCTAACACAGTTGAAGAGAAACCTTTCAGGACCAGTGGTGATGTCTAAATATGTACAACAAATATATGTATATGCAGAATATGCAAATATATGTGCTGCTATAGGACTCCGTCCAAAAACCATAAAAAACTCCACTGCACTGAGTTTTAACTGGCTTTGTGTAAACATAAAAAGAAATGCTATCAAGTTCACTTACGTTCTCCGCTGTCAAGAATCCCTGATTGCTGAAGAGACCGAATGCAGGAATCGACCAACTCTAAACCTGTGGTTAACTCATCCTCAATATCCTTTTGTCCATCTGCTGTTAAAGAGAATAGAGAACAGACCAAAGTCAGACAAAACATAATAAAAAATAATAAAAAATTAGGCACAAACAAAGTGAGCTCTGCCTGTGCTGTAATCTCTGTCCTCTACAGTAATGCTTTATTAAAAAACTTCTATAACTTGTTCATGAGATGTACAACATTTTTATGTTAAGAACAGGTCAGTGGAAAATATGCTTTTAAAATTGCAGCACAAATAAGTAGCAAGTAAACAGGCTGAATGAGAAAACATACAAATTACGTATTTGTGCTTTTGATATTTACACAAACAGATTACGACTGGATGTGACGAGGCTCCTTTGTGTTTCTTTGTTCTCGTGGGTTCACAATCATCGGAATCTATTAGACATGAAGGCCAATGTTTCTGACCAAAAACTACTGGTGTGCAAACAAACAAAAACAAATGTGTCTTAGAGTTATACCTTGAGCGTTCCAGCGGAATTGCTCATCAGTTGAACTGAAAAAGAAAGATAACGTTAATAATAAGATTACTACAAATGCCTACACAAAGACAATAATAAAGTTACAAAAACAACACAGTTGTTGTATACACTGAAGATCCCAGCGTGCCCATCAATAGTCCATTTGTTTTCTGTCCCAGTCAAACTCGTTGAAGGTCACAGGGAAGAGGAAAAACTTGGAGAGGTCATTACTCCATCACAAGGCCAAAAGAAAGACAGCCAAGACAGACAACTATACCCCGCCTCACACACACACACACACGCACACACACAGACGTGTCTACCTATACTTATATATTTGGAGACATTGCATTGACTTCCATTAAGTTTCTACAGCCTAAACCTGACCACAAACCCTAAAACTAACCTCACAAGTACCTACCTGACCCTAAACTTAACCTAAACTCAATTCACACCTTGGTCCTAAACCGAACCCCCAACACACCAATGACGTTTAAACCAAACAGGGACTTGGCTTAAGTCCCCATATGTACCCAAATGGTCCCACCAAGTAGTAAAAACAGGGGCACATAAACACCCTTGTATTTGCATCAAACTGAGGACTTTRTATTGACTTCCATTCATTTTTGTAACTAATTATGCCTAAAGGGCTCGACACACAGGAGGGGACATCTCTTGCTTTCTATTCATTTCCTATGGAGCCTGTGCGGTGAGGCGACAATCGCTTGCCCTCCTCCAGCTAAGTGACTGGCAAAAATAGTGCATGTGAAATTTCACGCTCGTACACGTAGACGTGCACACGCGAGCTTGCAACGCAACATATAAAAGTTGAAAAATGTTCAACTTTTGTCGCTGTCGCTTAGCGTACAACCAATCAGCGAGGGTTTCATTGACTGACCAATGAGAGGAGAGTATGCTACAC